CTACCTGCGGACGGAAAATGGTAAATTAAATAAACCGACAGTGTTGTAGTGCAAGCAAGGGCGGTTCCAGAGCTTAGGTTAGAAGGAGGGCAAGTTATAATTTTACAAAATCTTATAAAAAAAGAAAACAACATTTTTTACAATTCAATGAAATTTAAGTTGTCTATTTTTAAAATTGGCAAAAATATCAATAATATGATCTATTTGATCTAGAATATCTACTTTATGATATACATTAATTAGACATAATGCTGATAGTCTATCTTCTGTCGTCCTTGAACGAAGCCAGGTCTCCGAAGTGTGGAGAAACTCCTTTCCCATATTATAATATGCATTTTTCGTTAACAATATAAATTTTTTTATGAATACGGTACATCTTGGGGGAGGCCTAGGGTCCCCCCTGGAGCCGCCTCTGAGTGCAGGTAATGAATCATCACTATACAGGCGCACCACGACGATGCTGCGAATAAACGTTTTCCACGCCAACGCTGCACCGACCGTCCGGTATAGCGTAGCAGAGGCTGATCGTAACACGTCATTGCGGCGACAAAATCAAAATTATTGATAAAAAAAAAAATGTAAAAAAAAATAAAACCGTTTAATTCGCATTTCCCCCTGTGCCGTTAAAACGTACAGCATTGTGCTAGAGTATGTGTAATCGAGTTTTGATCGACCGTTTCTCTCTCTTTCTTTCACTATACTTTAATAATATGAAGTATGTGGTAGTGGCAGGTATACATAATATATATGATATATATATATATATATATATGGTATATATAGATAGATGTACAAGTATACCATGTACGTGTGTGGATGCGTGTTCCCTCTACCGTTGGCCGGGTCGTCGTCGGTAGACATGTCAAAATCATTACGTCTAAAAGAGACGTCCGTGTGACACACACAATAATAATAATAATAATGTTCGGCGGTCTCTCCTATCTAATATGTGTGTGTGTGTGTGTGTGTGTGTGTGCGTGTACGTGTACAAGGTAAGGTAACACATCAATCAAACGCAGGGAAACCGGCGCACGCGCATTCACAAAAGGTTGGAGATGAGGTGATACGCGTGTGTGTGTGCGTTACGAGCGTGTACGTGTGCGCGTGTGTCTCCTTCGACGGCGCTTTCGTATTATATATAAATCGCTGTCAATCAACGTCGCGTTCCTTTTTTTGTCTAAACTGTCATACAGGAAAACATCGTCTCCGCCACTACTCGTCGCCATACCGAGCACACGCACAACCCTTGGCTGTGACAGCAGCACATTACAGAGAGACAAACAATATCCTCCTTATCACTACATTAAATATAAGTTCTTGCTGCACGTATATACATGTTCACCTATACGATAGAGTCTATTATTTTGTCCTAAAACTGGCATACGATTGTCCTTTTTCCCAGACTGTTGTCAAAAATATACGAACATTTTTACAACCGACTTCTGTTCTCCCTTTTAACGTATTTTCTAGCATCATAATATATCTGATATTATAAAATGTCCTTATATATAAATATATATATATATATATATGAAAAGGTAAATATTAACGTACATGCGAAAAAATACACCCACATGTTGATGGCGATCGGACAATGACGTCAAGTAGAAAAGACAATAAAAATATAATTCGCAATCGCCTATGAGGAAGACATTTTTAATGAAATGTAAGTATAATATAAAAATACGGTTTCACCATATTCACTTTTTGTACGGATTTAATATGTTCAGGGCAGTATAATTGAATATTATTGATAGTTACGCGTCTTAATAAGATATAATTATTTTAGGACATAGGTAATACATAATATTTATTTTTTTTTTTTTTTGTGTGGTTGAGTAGAACGTAAGTACGTACATTTTACCGAATTCAAAAATAATAATAATCTATGCAATGCAATTAAGATATTTTATACCAATAAAAATATACAGTGTTAACGTTATATTGAATAATTTAAAATTTAATCATTATGAAATAATATTTTATATTATTAACATTATTATGAAATAATTAAATGAAATATAATGTTCGATAATGTTTATTAATACACAACAAAACAATGCGTCAATGATTAATAATATGAATAGTTATCTTAAATAATAATTATTTTAATACAATGTTGCTGTAATGCAATTAATGTAAGTCTCCTAAAGTGCACCGATCGTGCGTCAAATTATTGAAAAATATAATCCCAACAAACGAAATTAGTCAATATTTAATAAATCTATATTATTTTATCCACGCTGTATATATTTAAGCAAGACAGAACCCATATACCATTAGTCACAATTTTTCAAATCGGTACGATTCTTTGTTTTTATTATTTCCAAGGTTATTTCCTAAACCATAGCTACAATGTCAATTAGTGAATTATACAGAGAAAAATATTGATATATTCTTTCGGTAACTTTTACTATTATAATTGTATTTTAATGATATATATACATAAACATTGCAAATTATTGTCTGTAATCCAATAACCTACATTTTCCTATTAAGGTACTTTTTTTTTTGGGTTATGCAAATTAAAATTTTCGCGAATCATTATGTGAAACATTTTCTTTATTTCGAACTATTTAAAACAATTTTGGAATGCAGCCAATGCAGCTATCTACACACTCGAGATTAAATATAAATGTAACGTGAAATGATGTAATTTCCGTGGCCAGTCACAACGGTGGACGGCACTGGTATAATATATTATCGAGACGCAGAACGGAAAACAACTGCACTGCAAAGTCGCGGGACGCGCGCAGATCGAAAAATAAAATCACAGCTAGAATAACGCGATTCGCACTAGACCGCCTTTAGACCTTGACATTTTATGTAACGAATTTTCTAATTTTAGTCAGGTACACGCGAGCGCATGATTTAATTCGAAGAACCAATAACACGACACGTAATATTCCGTTATCGGCGGCAGTCGAGATGGACATGGTGCGCAGACGGAAACATATACGCATTTCACGTAAGCATACATAAAAGGGCGTCTGTCAAGGGGTGTAAACGAATTTCGTACGCAGTCGTCACGTAAACGTGCGACGGCATTTAAATAAACTTTCATAGTTCCATAAATCTTCGCCAAGTCAATGTTTGGCGAGTATATATATATATATATATATATATATATATATGGGTTTTTCGGCGGAAAAAACGCGTACACACGCAGATAACTACTACAGGTGACAACGACGACAACAACGTCAAATAGCTGATAAATGGTACACGTGTTTCGCCCGATTCGCCAACGCTATGTCATGCACTCCGCTACGGCGCGATTTTTTTTTTTTTTTACGTTTGTTTTCTAGACGGGTTTTTTAGCCGGAGCAGTGAATTCCGTACACACACCATCCCTCGTCATATCTCTACTACCACCTACATACAATATATTAAGAATTAAAAATACGAATAATGAACAACCAAATCTGACGAAACGAGAAAAAACGTGCATCGTTACACGGCACGAGCCGGTCGAGTGCGAACGTACACAGATTTGTCCAAAAACAAAACACCGTGTGCTGCACACGTGTATATTGTACAGTTTACGCGCGCACTTGTTGATTTAGGCACCCGGAAAGGAGCAATAATCGAGCTTCAGCGTGTTTATACGCGCCGGTGTATAAATATAATATATATATATATATATATATATATATATATTTATGTACATGTACACGGTGGCGTGCCCGTTTCATTTATCAGTGACAAGGAGAGATGCACTTTCCTCCCCCGGCTAGCCGTGGCGACGGCAGCGGTGGCGGCGTTTCGCCCCTCGCGCGCGCCCTGCACTGCCGACGCTGCGGTCTTCCCCCGCGTACACAGTCGGCGAACCCGCCGAAACACGCTGCCGGCTGCAAAACACCACCGACTCTCGCCCATCAACAGGTTCCGCGGCGAAATTTCACGAAAATACATGCACTTTTAGATACACGATACGATGTACAAACACGGCCTACGGTATTATATTCCGGAACATTATACCTCGATTGTACGATAAGTATTGTTGTGCCGGACGGTTGTATAAACGTACGTACGCACGTAGCTTAGGAAAACGCGTTTATTCCGGGCCAGAAGGGGATGCGAGTAAGAGATCAAAAGAAGGCGCCGAAAAACGTGGCCGGGCACGTGAAAAAAAAAAGTGTTAAACGCGGTCATTAATAACGTTACACACCACCAACAAGATCCCTGCAAGTCATCGTGTGTATACGATGGGTACCTACACGACCTATACGTACGAAGTGCAACAACCTGTGTTAAAATTTTATGACGGTATACATATGTGTATTGTACAACAAAAACCAACTTAAAATCCCCGACGGGACGAACCAGGTGGAATTGTGCGGAGTCAATCGCACGTCATCGTCAGAATATAAAAAGAGCGCCCAAAGGTCGGTACATCATCGCATGCGATGACGACTACTATTTACACGGAACACGCGAAAATCATGACTGCACACGAGCATAATATTGGCGGCTATCTTTTTGATTATACCCCTTTTATCCCGACCAAGATAACAATAAATAGGTATCGTTTGACAACGCGTAAACAACAATGCGTTTTATGGGTGCGCACCATGAAATACGTGCCTTTTCATGAAGATACGTGACGGTGACGTACGTTTTTTCTCTCGAAATACGTTAAAACAAATTCATAATTTTACGGCGAGTTTAAATACTACACGTTTTTTATAGCCAAAAACATATCAAAATTAACTGAGTAAAAATACACGTTATTTTTTTTTTTTTCATTTTTATAACGAATATAAATATAAAACACAATTATTTTCATAAGAACCCATGTATATAATATAACCAACACGTGAGTAATTCAGGGAACATTTTTTATTTCAATGAACAAATATGCACATGGCTGGACTGTAGTGTAGCAACACTACAGTCCAGCCATAAAGCATTATGGGCCCGACCCTGGATTTCCTACGTATCCTACACAACGTCGCGGTGGTTCGTAAAACGAAAACAATAATGATCGAAGTACTCACATTTCATCCGTTTCGGGCAGTGTTGCTTCCTTCTGGTCATGATGATGGTGGTGGTGGTGGTGGTGGTGGTGGTGTTTCGGAGCGGCTTCTGCGATTCGCGGTGAACCTCCTCCGGACAAGACACGGTGCCGAGTTCCAAGTGACACGTAAACAACGGATGCGCGCGCGTAATAATCACTAACGCAGATCGTCGTTGGACATGATTGCAATTATCGTCTCGCACGAAAATCTCTAGCGACAACCGACTTCCCCGGAGGTGTGGTGACGACGCGAAACCGAAACAAATTAATGAAACGAAAAAATAAAACCAATTACAATGACCATAACAAAAATAACAGTGTTGAGACGTGTCGATATGTAAGAAAAAAAAAAAAAAACGAGCAAAATTTGTGATCACGTGGAATAAATGAAAAAAAAATTTTGCTCTCGTTCAACAAAACGGCAGTGTGTTGTTCTCATCGACGACGGCGACGACGGTAGCGGCGGAACCCTTGAAAAGCACAAAGACCACGGACACGGACACGGCCATCACTGACTGACGGGTGTCAACAACGCGGCCGACGACGGTAACGCCGGTCGGCGCGCGCGGCCCGACCGCTGCCGACCGTTGCCGACCGACGCCGGCGGTGACGTCACGGGCGGCAGAGGCGCGGTCTGGGCGGCTTCGGGCCACGCCCACACCGGGCTGCGCGCACATAACTCATCCCCGCCCGCCGCCGGCCGGAGCCAGTACCGGTGCGCATCACTTTTTCCACCGACCGATTTCCCTCGGCCGCGTCGCGCGCAAATCCGCCGCGTGTGCACGCGCTTACCGTCGCGCCGCGCGTGCATCGACTACGGTCGTTTGTCGCGACGTCGCCGCTCCGATCCGTTCGCACGTGTCCGCAGTTTCATCACCCGTTTACGGAAAATCGCGATCGCGAATTTAGTGCGAGTCGCGGTCAGCGGTCCGCACCGTCGCGGATTTACAGGTCCGGTGTACGAGCAGCGCCGTGACCAAACTACCCGAGGCCCGCGTCAAAACCCTGAGGTCCCTTATCGTTGTACGTTTTTGAGGCCCTATAACACGGTACCGAGGCCAGTGGCCCGCGTGCGTTGCACACCCGGTTTTCGCGGTACACGAGACCCTGGTGGGTCGGATGTGATCACGACGGACTTGCACTGCGACCGTATCATCTCTCACCGAGCCGCGTCGCAAGAACAATCTCTCAGTTTTCCGTAGCGTACGCTACGCGTACGATTTATAGCTCGTTGTGCACCGTGCGCGGATTAAAGGGACCCCGGGAACGTCTACAACTCGAAACGTAAATTTCGTCCGTAACTCACTCCGTCCGTCACCCCCTCTCTGCGTACGCCGAGGCGCTATCTCTACTTCTCGCGCGTCCGTTTCGTCGACGATAAATAGCGCGGAACTCGCACAGTGCGCGATATCGCACACGGCGGTCGCGTTATTTATAATGACGCGTGTGAGAACATAAACGCGATCGATTGGGCCAATTCAAATAAACGTTCGGATCACGCGGAACGCAGACAAAACGAACGAGAAAATGTGTCGATAAAAAAAAAAAAAATTAATACCATCTGATAGCGATCGCCGAATGCATTCGCTCGTCACGTCAGATTTACGAGAAAGTTTATGCGGACGGTCTATAAAAAAAACTACTCGTCTCGCAGTCTGCGGACGAACGACTGTGCGATACACATGCCTACTACCTATCTATATAGGTATATAAATTTAATTAATTTCAAAAATCGGTACGTTTCTTATGCACACATGTTACGTGAAAACGTTTAAAGGTCGTATTAGTAGTATTCGACAAATAATTTATTACACGGGTATCGTTGGATTTGATCAAATGCATAATATCAAGATAAATGTATAATTATGCACGGTGTACTGCGCTGAATAAAATCGCATTAAACGCCTTCGCGGTAAAATGTAATGTTCACGTCCGTTCAGTTGCGATCATAATTTTGAATTATATAACTGTGTTGTGTAAACTATATAGCGACAATTTCCTGATGTGTGTACGCAAAACGCGTGTGCACTGTAATATTTATTGCTGATTATTTTTGTCACATAGATCGGTTTCTCTAGGCCACGCTTTCCGTACGTAATCCTATGCTGAAATAATAATAAACACCGTACATACGTTTGCTGTAGACACACACGCACACACACACTCGTAACTCAATGTGCAGTAAATAAACGAAATCTTTAATTGAATAATATACCCACTCGTGAGAATCAAACAAGGGTACATAAACGGTACAAGTTATAAACATGACACGTACAGATCGAATTTAATATAGTTATGTATAACATGTTATTATATTAGTAGTGTAATTTATTCGTTTATTAATCGTTTATTGATAATTAGTAACTGAAATATAGTATATTAACAAACGTACGCAATTATATACGTTGAATAATTACTGGATATGTTTTTTTTTTTTTGCAAGTTTTTAATCGGTAACATGAAACAGCGAAACCGCCATACGAGTGTAATAATGTTAGTGTAAATATGTTAACACTTTATAAAATCATAAGATAAAGCAATAACAAATAATATACCTAATATATTTTCGAGTACAATTTAAATTACGTGTGATTCTCTTTAGGTTTAACGCATTTTTTACAATGATGGTCCAAAAGAAAATATATTATTATGTAAATATAATTATTTATAATTATACGTGTTATAGAAAAACCCGTAATAGTCGCTAAAGTCACTCAGTCAATAGTTTTACACTGTATCATGTGTGTACATGAACTGTGTTTATAAAGCTGGCGCATGGTCGTAAAAAGTAGATACCTATATAATAATATTTATATATATATATATATATATACGGTCGATGTGTATAAAATATACATTATATGTACACAAATTAATTTTTATTTACTCCAAACGTATAATAATATTATTATACTCTATTGACCGCTTCATTTAAATCAACAAAACACCGTAATAGTTATAGATTAAAAATGCGTTTTGGTATAATAATACTACATACTTTTATGAATCGAACGCGTTTTCTATATTAAACGTGTCTGTAACCGTACATAACGACTTACACGCATTATTCAGATACGCATTCATACATAATGTGTGCAATACGTTCACATTTACGGCGAACGTGTATAAATATTTTAATGGTGTCGTCCGTTTCTCGTTATAAATGTTAAAAACATAATCTTCCGAACTAAAATTTGAAGGAAAAAAAATTGTCTCGCACTGAATACCTTTACGGGTAAAAGAAAAAATAAAAGTACCGTTATATTTCGTATTGTACGGTACAATTCAGGGTATCAATACGCTGCTGCTGCTGCGTATTTATATACACTTGTAATCTGTCACTGCCTGTGCGGTGCTATTCGATTGTGCGATTATCCAATTTGGAATTTTTTTTACGCTGACACAGCGGTCGGATCTACATTTACACAATATTATTTCGTCTACGGTTGTACAAAACGACGTAAATGCCCGTGCGTGTGTGCGCGTGTACTTAGGTCAAGAAAGTAAACCGTAAGCTTATAAAAAAAAAAAAATGTACACATATATATCGATATAATGAACACGTGCGTCGACAGTATTCATCACGACGACGCTTATACCGCTCCATTCAGTTTGACGCAGCATGGTGAGTGTTGGGTCTGTTTTTTTTTTTAAGACCTGGTCGTATGAATACATCGATAATATCCGAAACCCTACGGACAATCAATGCGAAAACGTTTGCCGGAAACGGAATCCGTCGTGTGTACAAGTCGTTTTATTACGTTTGAAATCGGAGGTTTAGATTGTTTTGGTACTCGGACGAGCCATCCCGGACACCTACAGTACCTATCATACGACAGTAATATTTATCGGTGTCAGCGATGAAAAGAGCAATATCACGACGATGATATGATATGCTGTGACGCCATATCAAAATTGTATTTCTTCCTTTTTTGTTGTTCTTCCACGTTTTCTATGCGTACGTATCAATGCGTGTTTCGTATTATAGTGCGTTCACAGAAGTGAAAAACGCGGGTGCAGGTAAACGGACCACACCGACGTAACCGAAACGGTCCTAAGACTCCAAGACAAAACAAAAAAAAAAGTGTCGTAACACGGATTCCATATCCCGTTTATGGTGTATTGTGTCCGACGTATGAGTATGCTCGTGCTATCGAAGTAACAATAGGTTTGCTGCTGGACACAAAAATTATTTCATTTTCACTACAGGCAACCGATTTCCGTTCGAAATATCTTACCTATGCACTACTGTCGTATTAGTATAACTTGTTCGAATGAGTACAGGTGTCAGTACCAGATATACAGTACAAGATATCAGTACGATAGAATAGTTATAGATATAGGCGTGCGCGGAGTTTCAAGTCGGGAGCAACGAATATTTTAAGCTCAAATTTAAACTTCAAAGCCTATTTAAAGTTTAAACACAGAAAAGATTAGCTTGGTAGCAATACACTTTTTGGATGAACAACTTATTTTGTATTGAGCATCACCGGTGTGACGGCCCAGCTTGGACCAGTTCGGATCTTACAAATATATTCAAACCGTCCAGGAACAGCAAGAGCACACCTTGCTACCCCAGTGCGCGCACCTATGGTTATAGACCAGTGGTTCCCAAATTATGCACCGCGGTGCCCTAGGATCACCGCAGGCACTTTCTAAGGGCACCGTGGTCTACGGTTCATAATGAATAGTTTAAAATGCACAACTATAAACTCCGCCAAAATATCGGTTAAGATAAAAAGGTAATAAAAGGTAATAATGGTCTAATATAAACTTCGTCAGTTTTTTTGTGTTTTGCATGTGAATCCTTTCATGGTCATCTAAAAAATTAATTTTATAGAAGTCAACCGAATGTTCATATTTTTAGTAAAAGTCTTACTGAATTTCATATCCATACTAATATAAAACTAAATAGCATATCTCAAATAAATAAGCTAAAAAATTCAAAATAAAAAAAAAAAAAAATGACAGTGTTACAGGATACTATATATACTATATACCTATATATTATATAGGCACACTATTGGAGTAATATTGAACTTAGAATATTTACAAATTGTATCACATAATTTTGTTTACATACTTGACATAACTATATAATTTTGGATTATTAGGTATAACAATTATTTATTATGATTTTTGTACTATGATTTAAATATTTATTATTCACAATATGATATTATATAACATTATATATATTTTTTTAATAATATATCATATTCATTTTATACTACTACTTGATTTTTTTCACTGGCGGAGTTTACACGCGCCCTTTAAAATGTATAGAATTTTTTTCCTAATTATTTTAAGTATTTTCTATTGTATATTCATAAATTCTAATTTTAACCTTATAATTATAATAATGATAACAATAATTTTTATTTATTCATTTTTTTAGTTTAAAAATTCATTAATTTAAAATTATTAAATTTTAATAAAATTAGTTATCAATGATTATTTTTTTTTTGTTCTGTCTTTCATATTATTTACAGCAGGGCACCATGGCTAAATTGAGTCTAAAAAAAGGCACCGTA